TATTGTAAAATAGTTTTTTTATATGTTGCACACCGGGTGAAGGATCAGTCGTGTAACATCGACGGTCGCTCCTGTAATCTGATGATCGGATGGCTGCGTTATTCCGTCATTTTCCGATCATCAAGTCTGTGTCAAATTTTCATTTATTGCCCGCGAAACAAGCAATATCAATAACATCTATTTATATGGGAAAATTTGTTCTAATGCTTTAATAATTAACGTTTATTATAAATAAAGATATGTATAATAGATGGTTTAATATGAAATACTGAATTAATAACAGTTATTAAAGAGCGTAGTCTAATCCAACCCAATTCCGATCCATATATAAAAAATTTACTTTGAGATCATGATACACGTTCATCCAACTTTTGAATCACAACAAACGATTATTAAATTATCATTATTTGACTTGAATTTGTTCCTAAAATATAGTCATAACAAATTTACAAATTTATTTTGTAAGATTTGCAATTTTATATCTAAGAGTTTCGAATTAAAAAAAATCTATTACAAAACAATCAACCGATAAAAATATGATCAACCAATTTCCCCAACATCTAATTCCTACCAGCGCCACTCTAAATTAGCTTTTAGGGAAATGATTGTCAGGGAAATTAATAAATTGCCGTACATCAACATATTATGTGACCAATCAGATTCGATCTTTTTTGAATCCCAACAGGTTTGGGTAGTATATAAACTTACGACCGTTCATTTTTGTAAATAAAATCTTCATTTTTTTCGGTAAATTACCCCTACGTACATAACTTATTAGTAATTCCCATCCATGTTGGTAACAATGTCCAATTTTGGTATTTTATAAATTTCTACAAAATCCATAATACTGTTACACGTTTATAATAATGATCTGCAAAGTAACCAATCATGACGCAATATTCAATTTACGTGATTAATCATAGTACCCTAGCTATGGCGAAAAAAAAGTCACTGTCACGTGATATTTCTGGATCTAGCCAATTAGATAACAAGATCAGGTGTAACGTAAAAATTGCGTTCTTTTATGTTTTTTTTTGAAAAATTGTAAATAACTCGACATTTCACTTATTAAATCACCTTCTGCGTACTAACAAAAAAAATTTCTTGCTAACCTAAACCTAACTCTAATAATAAGATTTATTACTTTAATTTATATACTTATTCGATTGTTTTGATTTAGCTGATTGGCCGAAAGTGGCTAGGGTTCTAGATTAATCACGAGTGTCGATCTTTCTTTTTCTGATTGTTTTGATGAGATCTGATTGGTGCCGAGCATACGAATGATTTAATTAAATCAATAATCAAAACAGACGTTAACGCTTTATCTTTTTTATGCCTTTTCCATCTATAACACATTTTTGTAGATAATATTTATTTTTATTTTAAAAACACCGCAGATACATACAAGGTAATGTATTATAGACGTTTAGGTTGTTTTCGCCAATTATGACTTGCTTTCTGGCAGGTTTATTTGTGAAAATTCACCTAGTTTATAATTCAGTAACTGAATAGTTGTTGACTGATTGTATGTATCTGTTCACGACCCTTCTACCAGAAGTTGAAGAACTGAAACGCGTAGAAGCGTTTCGTTGATTTTTTTCTTCTTCTAATGGTTTAAGGGATAACTACTACAGTTAATATTAAATTTCATGTTTGCAGCACTGATCAATTAAGGTAATTACTCCTTATGAAGGTCGGGTAAACGGAAATTGGATATTAATGTGGTGGGTGGTGAACGGATCATAAAATCAAGCAATTGGAAGTCACAGTTATTGTGAACGTCTTTGTTTGTTTTTTTCAATTATGATGCAATTTATTTATTTATTTTTTTTTTATACCAGGATCGATTATACAACTATGAAATACTCAAGACCGATCAAGATCGACGAATTCCTACAGGACCAGCGAATTTAATTTTTATGCAAAAAATTAGTGCTTTTAGAGCTAGTTTTTTTTGTTAATATAGATTATTTTTTAATATAAAAATATATAGTTGTTTTTTTTGTTAATATAGATTATTTTTTAATATAAAAATATATAGTTGTTTTTTAATTATTTATAATTTATGTATTTAATAAATTTATTAAATATTCGAAATCGTTTAATAAAGAATGTAAAAAATAAAAATATGATTAAAAAAGCAAATAATTGTATTTATGCATGAGTATTCGATTTTATTTATAATTAACGTTAAAGAAAAAAATGATTAATTCAAATTTTGTACTAGTCCGAAAATGGTTATTAATATACTAGTTATACAATAATAATTTCATATACTCCCACCGAAAATAAACTCTAAAATCCATTTTAAGATAAAAAAAAAACTAGAACTACAAACATGTATACAATAATAATTATAACTATATAATATATAATTATATACTAATAAATAAGAAATGTAAAATTAACCCCTCAAATTCCGAAAACCAGAATTATCTATATATATTAATTTGTTGCTATACTAATAAATTATGCCACACTCTAAGAAAAAGGATCATCATAATAAAATCTATTTCAACAACAGGTAACTCCCTAGGGACTTCAACACTCTGTGGTATTTCCACTCTCTCACCGCTTAAGTCCAATAATTTAACCTTTACTCCAATTTCTGTGAATTCTGCCGTATCTCTGCTTCCAATATTTTTATCAAATAACATATTCAATCCATCTGTCCATTCTGAAAATTGCACATAATCTGATGCCACAAAATCCGCTAGTACAGTATCAGGTCCGAACATTAAAGAGAACATTAGATCCTGTGATGAGCCTATAAATTTTCTTGTCGGTGAACCTGTAGTTGTTGATAATTGCAGTGTTAAACCCGTCATCACATCAGTCACTAGAGATAAATCAACTTTATTGTAATATTAAATAAATAAATTCCAAATGTAAATTAAATTTGAATAGCATTTAAATTTATAAAATAAATAAATTAATTAAGAACTTACTTCTTTCAGGTAACTCTTCAACACCATCTCTTATAAAAATTTTCTCAGTAAAATCACTATAATGAAGAAATTTTAAATTTGGACTGAGCCTATAAAATCTCCACTTTTTATTGTAT